GGGTTGTTAATCTAGGATCCATGCACAATAGACAGAATCCAAGGAATAGCTGGCAACTTGAATGGAAAAAAGCATCATTATTTTCATATAGCTCTAATTAAATTTTGTATTTCCCTCAATAATAAATGTAGGCAACAAACCACAGAAGTATTAATAGAACTTGTGGCTTTGTCACCAATAGAAATCACAGATATTTTCATACATTAGTTTTGCAGAAATCTCAAAATGCTATTTCTACTTATCACTACTTAGAAATTGTAAATTTTAGGGCCAGGCGCAGTAGCTCATGACTGTAATTCCAGCACTCTGGGAGGACGAGGCGGGAATAAAACTTAGTGGTGGTATACCAGTATTTATTATATAATTAACACATATATATATGTGTATATATATATATGGCTGAAATATTCCATTATGATAATACTTTTTAATACTTTTTTAAATACTTTTTTAAAAGTTTTTAACTACCAGTATTTTCTTTAGTTAATTCTATCACCTTAGTGAAGATGTTGCTGCTGGATTAGAATAGGAGAGGTATATCGTAATAATGATAACTACCTTTTATGGCCCAGGTGCTCTGCTATGTGATTGTTATGCATCTCTCACTCACCCTAGGGGTAGATACTACCATCTCATTTTACAACTGAAGGAATAAAGTCTCAAATATTAAATGACTTGCCCAAAATCACATGGCTTGTAAGTGGTAGAGATAGGATTTCTGATTTTAAATATTTTCTGAAAATTCTGTATTTTCTGATTCTGAAGCCCTATTTTTAACTATTGTGCCTCCTTAATCTCTGAAATATGGATTTTATATTTTACAATCTCATTTTAAAGCCAGTGTAGTTTATTATTCTATGAACCTATGCTCAGTCACATGGCTAATAGGAAAAACATAGAAACCTGACAGGTCATTCTAGCTAATCCAGGTTAATTTTAAAATCAGCTTGTATAATATAACATTGCAGATCCCTGTCTTATCCTATACTGTTCTCCACTATAACTGCCCAAGAGCATCAGAAGCAGTGGCCATTTAACTGAGTAAGGAGAGTGTCACCCAGCAGCTGCTGAACATGAAATGAACTAGGACTGCTGACTGCTAATTATATATTATGCATCCTATTTTTGTCAACTTGAAAAAATTTGGGCCAGGCATGGTGGCTTATGCCTGCAATCCCAGCATTTTGGGAGGCCCAGGTGAGAGGATTGCTTGAGCCCAGGAATTCAGGACCACCTTGGGCAACTAATAGTGAGACCCCATCTCTACAAAAAAAAGAAAATTAGCTGGGCATGGTGGCACAGCCTATAGTTCCAGCTACTTGGCGGGCTAGGCGGGCAGATTGCTAGGTCCAGGATTTGAGGTTGAGTGAGCTCTGATGATGCCGCCTACACTGTAGCCTGGGTGAGAGAGGCAAGATCTTGCCTGAAAAAAAAAAAAAAAGAAAGAAAAAATTTTGTCTTCGGGGGGAAATGGGCATTTATTGAAACCCTTAAAATCTGTATCCCCATAATATGCTGAAATTAAAAAAAAAAAAAGAAATGCAAAAAAAAAAATTTTGTCTTCTTTTCTTTACACATTCAGAATAGTATAGGGGCGCATGGTGGCTCATGCCTGTAATCCTAGCACTCTGGGAGGCCGAGGCGGGCGGATCACTCGAGGTAAGAGTTCAAACCAGCTTGAGCAAGAGTGAACGTCTCTACTAAAAATAGAAAAAGAAATTAATTGGCCAACTAATATATATAAAAAAAAAAAGTT